CCACAGCCGGCAGATGTGGCAGCATGACTGCGCACGGACTCGCCTTCTCCCCCAAGGCGCAGGGAGGACATAGATGCTCTGTGGGCCAGGACCTGGGCAGGGCTGTAGCACAACGGGAGCTGCCTGTGCTCGAGGCTGTGCTACCTTTTGCCCCAACCTACTCTGCTGCAGTTACTCGAGGGACAGGTTTCTTTTTGTTTCCTCCCAACGCTTGCAGAAGACATGGAACCCCAGGCATGTTCAGACATCCAGCAGGCAAAGCAGAGCTTCGGGGCCACCTCAGCTGCTCACCTGAAGGGCTTGTTCTGGCTGCGGGGGGAAGTGCCAGCGCCGTCGGCTCCCGAGTCCTTGCTAGCAATTTCAGGAATCGGGGAGTCCTCGACGGGGGAGATGATGTTCTCCTGGCAACCAGAGGGCAAGAGAAGGGTCAGTTTACCGAGCTGCAGTGACACTGCCCGACAGAGCCACAACGCAATCCCGAGCCCTCTCACCTCCACAAGGGCCTGCAGGAGACGCTGCGTCAAGGGCCCGAAGGGGCACCCGTCCTCAGGCTGCTCGTGCTGGGCCTCCGACTTCTTCAGCAGGGCATCAACATCTGGGAGGAAGCAGGGAAAACAGTGAGCAGCAGGGGAGAGGCCAACGCCTCAGCGGGACTCCGGTGCAAGGTGAACTGTTCTCTCCTCTGCAGGGACAGCTTTACTCCATTCTGTCTCTGCCACCTGAGCCTCCCTGCAGCTGCGCTCGAGTTGTGCCCTCCCCAGGGCAGCCACCGGAAAGGGAGGAACCCCCAGGGCAGCAGGGCCAGCGTCCCAGGGGCTTGGCTGTGCTCCGTGTAGGTGCCTTGCAGCCCCCTCCAGGCCGTTCACAGAGGGCAGACGCAGGCAGGGATGGAGGCACCTTTAGTGTCCAGCTCAGTCAGCGGTCCCAGGATGCCTTTCTTCTTGTCAGCAGCAGCTGCTGCCCGGGCTCCGTCCTTCTGCTCCTCCAGCAGGTCCTCCTGGGCCCAGCGCTGGGAGTAATGCTTCCCCAGAGGCGGGATCTGCAACCACAGGACAAGCGAGAGCAGCGGTCAGCACAGCGTCCCAGGGCCCTCGTCCGCGCCAGAGCTCAGGCACGAGGAGACGGGCCCTGCCGTGCCACGGAGCAGGCCCTACATCCAAGGACCCAGCCCCGCACACTTCACCTGGCTCGCAGCCAGGCCAGTACCCGGCTGCCCTGGGGCTCTACAACCCTATCCCC